ATTTTAATAGTTCCAACCTACCCTGGTGGTTTTACAGGCTCCATTACGAAACGTAGCTTTCAATTCTAGGAGCGCTTTCCCTGTCGCGAAGTTCACCATACCGACGAGAAGTTCGAAGGACAGCTGTAAGAGCAGAGGTTTGACGAACCCAGCCTCGCAATAAAAACTTGGATCTAGCCATATGAATTTGGGTCTACTAAGATCGACCATGCCTAACAGACCCAAGCGCACAATGGAGCGCGGAACGGAATGGGAGACGAATTCCTTATAATAATACAGGGTCGGAATAGGCCTGTTCGGCGGGGCGACAGATCTGTCCCGTTTCAGTAAAGCAACGGCTTATAGACATTGGGTACATAGGGGAAATGTTAACGCGCTGTTGTCGAGATCAGCGTATAGTGGCCAGGTTTCAGATAATATCGTGCATATGTGTGAGAAAATCTTCGACACACACATATCCATCAAGTGGACTTGTCCACGCAGGGAGGGTTTAACTCCCTTCGAGCTGACATTGGACAGTAATGTACTTATTGGTTCATATTCCCCCCAGAGGAATATTTGATACCATTCACAGACACACATATGATATATATATATATATATATACCATGGATAGCGTCTGCACAAAAAGGCAAACTCAATATGAACATGCCTTGCACTGAAGATGGACCTGCGACGAATTCGGATTGCTTCGTAAATAATACAGTCGGAAGGGCGTTCTTAATATGCTGAGCTTATTTGAAATGATCCTAATATTACTGTGTGTCAAATACCGTCGAATAATTTTATGGAACCGTCGAAACTGCAAAGCAATCGAGAAATGTCGTCCAACGATTGGTAAAGTCTTAAACGTACACCGAAAAAAGATGAAAGCTGCGAAAGTCTCTCTACGAACGTCTATTAAATCATACAATATAACTCGTCGTGCTTTCGTGATCTCGAGCTCCGGTACTGTGGTCGATCCGCCTCATGTTACAACCAAACGATTAACACACAAGAAGACCAACTCTCATCCAAGTTCATTCATGAGCTCGTTGGTCAGCAAATTCAGGCTCTATTCAGGGGACCAACATTCAACCAAAATGCTTGGCTTTGCTTTTCTGATAAGCAGTCAAGCGTACCCGTCGCAAGCGTGGGCGGTCGGCGGGCGTGCGAACCCGATGAATGCGGGGAAGGTTGACAGGGAGCAATGGGGGATGCAGGCGCGCTCGGGTTATTTTATGGGTTATGTGCCCGTGACGTCAGAGTGTGCAATTTAGCGACAGCAAGTCCCCACGCAGAGATACCTTCTAAGTCTTGTGCTCTAGGCATTGCTTTGGCTTTTTTCTCACGTTGCGGTAGGAGCAATGTTAGAACTGTTACAAGCAAATTCGGCAGCGGACTTTGAAACTGAGTAATTTCTCAACTAAGTGGGCTAGAATAATGCTTTTAATGTGTATTAATAATTTTGTTTTTACTCACTTAACTTAGCGTTTTGGCAGCTTCTGGACATACTATATGTACCTACGATTCTCGTTTCCCTATGTAATTTCTCTATGTGTTCCCGAAGTAATTCGATAGTGGAATATGTTTGCCCACCAGGTCCCTTTTCAGAGTATGATAAGCTTCTTAACTAGACTGATTGAGGTTGGGTTGCCATCGTTGTATACTCTGTTACTCAGTACAGAAAATAGTTGAGGAGTAATGATGAAACTTCACTGACGTTGTCCGTAAATAATGCTACTACGTGCTTTCGATTACCGTGCCGACGGTCACGAGTCTCCGAAGGAACACAAGACGCCGAGCTGTAATTATTGTTTTATTTTCTGCAAGTATATCACAGTAGCCGATGGTCCTTCGAATCTACTGGATCCTATCACCAAACTCGATATTTTTAGGCCGATGTCCCGTTCTGGCTGGCGATAGAGACCGAACCATTCTTCGTCTATGGTGACCGTATGTTTAACGCAAACTTTTGTTGATTGAAGTTCCACAGATTTCATGTGGAATAGATTAGATGCATTTCTAGCTGACTTGGAGTTCATTTGCGGAGGACCTATTCTTTACAAAGCTTCCACATTTCCAGTACTTGGAAATTATAATTTTGTAACATGCTACATGGGAACCGTAAAGTTTTCGTTCCTGTCCTTCAGGTTCCGACATCTGGTCGCCTTCTTACTGGTTTTGAGCACTCCAATTCTCTCTTCGTGTAACGTTCGCACCACTCATGTATTGTGCCTTTGCCTGGGATTTCGATGCCGAATGTTTCCACCAATTTTCGATGAATTTCACAGTGCTGTGGCCTTCGAGGGACAATAACTAGCTACCGAGCATTGATTTCCAAGGCCAAAAGATGTTCCTTCCTCTGGACTCATTTCTTCTGGAGTTAATTTAACTGATTCGCACTCACAGGTTTCTAGAAGACTGGAGGATATCCCAGCAAAATTTCATCTACTAGCGACGCATGGTATCCAATTCCAGAGTTCGCCGTATTCACTTGTAACGGCCACATATATATATATATATATATATATATATATATATATATATATTGTAGATTGCTAGTGCTGAATTGTTCGTAGACAGCTCGTTGAGCCACCTTAGTGTCGGCCTTAGGCTTAGACGAGGGCAATGCATCAGGATGACGTTGTACGGCACGCGTTTACCAGTGGCTCTTTGGCCGTTGTCATATGGGCGAGTCGGAGGCGTTGAAGAGTTCTCAGTTGGACGCCGAACTCAGCTGAATTCGGTAACAACGAATAAGTTGCAGTGAGAAAAAGTATTCAACTCTTTCGACTGTAAAGACTTCCGATTGAAGCGGTTTTTTCAAAGTGTCGAAGTTCTCTGTGAGCTTTATACTGGTGGGTAGGTATTGAGGCTATTTCGACGTCTTCATCCGGAGGATGAACGATCGCAAAGAACCCGACGAGAGCGAAAAGCTGCAGAAAGCCAAATAAAGAGGTACAGCATAGCTACACTAGGTATCTCATAGTAAATAGCGATGAAATGTTATATATTTGCATTGTTGCACGAACGATTCGACCGGGCACTCTGGACCACGCTGGCATAGGTGAGGGTGCTGTAGCAGATGTTCGAAACTGATACAGTTTTTACGCCATGATTCCCGCCAGGAGTTTTTGAAAAGAAGTTTCCGTTAATAGACAAACGAAGTTAGTGCGCCATCTGCATTTAGACGCGACGAGTGATTGGCAGAATAATAGAAAAATAACTAGGCCATCAGTACCAAAAGGGAGGAGCAAGCTTTTAATAAAGCTTGAATACTTCAAATGTACCCGGTGATAATACAGTCTTGACTGGTGGCGAGCGACAGATGTAAATATACGAATCAACATTATATGGCGGTTGGAGCCGATTTCGGTGGCAATATATCCGCTTGAATTTGGCTTGCAGTCCGCTTTCGTCGAACAACTATCTTATTGAAATTGCAAATGATGTATTGACATAACAAGTACGAATGTAATAAAAAAATAACATGATCTGCAAATATCGAAGAGAGTTGGGGCTCCATTGTTGACAACTTTATTCGATCTCGTTTCCTGGCTCGCCAGAAAGTCGCTTGCTGCGGGATACGCCAGAAAGGCCAGCAAATAGTGTTCGATGTTGCATGTGAAAACCGTCAACTCCTTCCGGCTGCCCCCTGACCCCACTGCTTGTCCCGAGTCGCTATCACGCCCCCAGACAATTTGAAACTCTCCGACGGTGATCGACTGGATGGCCTGCCGGTGTACCGAACCTTACAAGTACCCTTTTAGCTCTGCGTATATCTCGGCAAGCGATAGTAGCAGCAGCAGCAGCAGGAGTAGCTACGAGATGGTGACGTATGTTGGTCTTGCCTCGCGGTCGCTGCATTTTCGTTCCGATGAAACCGGGTGATGGTTAACGTGCATAGCAGTTAGCGCCTCTAGTAATGACGTCGTGCATTCATTAAATTAAGCAGACATGATTCGTTTTACATCGCTCCTTCCCGGGATCTTTTTCGCGTTTTGTGCGGCCCCTTTCTTTGGGCGGAATCTGTGCGAGAGCAATTGATTGATCTTGGCAACAATCGTAGCATGAGTCCTAAAAATAAGACAACAGTGGCGGCTTTAGCTTCGCATGTCACTTACGCGACCCCCGAAAGACAGCCGTAGCTCTAACTAAAGGAACCGTCTTCCACAGGCAAGGATGCGACGTGGTAAACGGGCAGACGAAACTTATTCAGATATTCTGAATCAGCGTTTAGGACGAAAAACGTCGCTTACATGAAATTGTTAAGCATCTATGTGAATACAAGCAGTCGATACGTAATAGGTATTTATGTCATTTTACTGGATTAGGTCAAACGCGACGTACATAAAGCGTCAACGTTCATCCGGAATACTATCCCAGCTAAACAATATTGACGTCATAGCTGATTTCCAAGCGTTTCTAAATTGACGCTTATATATACGGCAGTCGCATTTCTAAGTGCGTACCATGTGTGTTCGTTCGTTTGTAAACAACAGCGTTAATGTCCAGAAATATACCTATCCAACGTGTAACGAGTAGCAGAAGAAAACTTTGTGGACGTATTAGATTATCGTAGCATCAACGAAGGGGTGATTGTCCAACGTAGAACGATCGAACCGTTTGAAACAGTTATAGTTCAAAGGTTTAAATACCGAGAGTAAAAAACATAAAGCGTTTGTTAACTACGATAACAAATCAGCTTTTCAGCTATTGGTTAATCCTAAAACATTCTACCTTGTCAAGATGTGGATACAATTTCCGCCACGAGACGCAAACGTAAACCCAATAACAAAACAATATTCCACGTATCTGTTTTGGGCTTCAACAGAAGCATGATAACATTTACTTCAGCAATCAAATTTGTCTAGAAAAATACATTTTCGTTTCTCGTGCTAACGACTGTTTCTACGATCGTAAGTTATTTACTAACTAGTATTTGGATCTCCGATAGATACATCGGTGCCAAACTTCGGAAATTGCTTTATACATATATTGTCTCTTGTTTGTAACAGATGAAGTAACACTTCTGTACCTCGGACACGAGTCGCAATCGGTCGAGCTTCGATTGGTCGCCGGCGTCCGATTTGAAGTCACGATCACTTTCCCTCAATGGAAGAGTCACAGCCACAACGGGGCTCTACGTCAACTGGACGCCGGTGGAGGGCCAGATGCCAACGTTGCGGGCAAAACAGCCGTTGCGCATGCCACTGTTTTGTCTATCAGCTCGCACTCCATACAGAAAGGCAAACGCTTCGATGATGGACGATGGCACCGAGTCGTACTCACAAGAAGGCTTGATCAGGTAGAATACATATGTATTTGATCGTAACGCTCATAATGTGCTGTCCCAATTCCGAATGCGGAACATTTTAGACAAGGTCAAATAAGACGCTCTTATCATTGTTCTATTTTCAGACAGGCTTCCTAAAACGCTTCTTACCTTAGTCGCATCATTGCTATCATATTCATTACCGTTAACGGGGTTATTCCGTTTCTCTGTTCCATAATAGAAGTGATTCTCGATCAGCACTTGTTTTTTTGACACAGACGCAACTTTATACATAATCCCTTAGTGTGATATATATATACATACATATGTGTATATATATATATAGAGCCGAGTCGTGTACGAGTGATTAAACGTCAGCTGCGTTCTGCCGTTTGCTAGCATTTCCTTATCAACAATTTTTCTTACCTTTTCTTTACATCGATCTATTTACTACTTCAACTTGATAAACGTATGAAGGGCACATTCTAATTTATTACATAAGTGGTACGTTTAACGCGGCGATCATATTCGAATAGGCACAAACGATTCCATCGCTAGCCAGAAATGTGCGTGATGTTGCTGTTCCGCGTTCTGTTTAATTCTCTACTTTATTGCATTTAAGCACATCGCAACATACCCTCATCTCGCTCTTTTAGCGAGTCGACAAGGACGGCTTGCGTCGACGTAATAACACATGCAGGACACCATTGCAGGCCACAGTACACATAGTGAAAGAAACATTGAAAGTAGGCACAAGCCAGAATTTTCTATAGCAGTCGATCTATGCACAAATAGCACTACGATACGGATGCCATCTGACGGTAGACGGCAATGAAAAGCTGTTACTGCAGCTGATGCTCAGGAGTTGTAATCATTGTTGATTTTCAAATGTGCTCCAGAAACTAGTTAACTTCTTTAATGTTCCTCAAAACCTACGACACTGGTCGCGACGTTTGACTAATTCCGGTTTACTGTTCTACATTAAAGCTGGAGACTGCCAAATACGTACTAGAATATTTTCTAACCCTCGAATTTCTAGGGGCTTAGGTCGCGTATTGCATTTCGAATCGTTAGGTTAAACGCAGGCGCCGACGCCTTGAGGTGCTTAAAAGCTCTACTGTTTACACGGTGCTTACCGCAGGTAAGGTAAAAGCGAAACCATGTACCTCGTCCTATTATCCGAATGGTCACAGACGAAACAATACGCAGCATCTCGTTCACAGATGATGAGTCTATAGGTTTACTGTAGACCGAAGAACATATATCAATGTCTGTGTATCGCTCAAATGATAGTGCAATTTTCGATGCTATAGTAAATGGAAGTTGTCACGTGACGGAATACGTGAGGCGCAAGACACCCGTTGTTTGTTTTTGCTTGACACACGACATGATTGATAGCCGAGTTCATTAATGAAAGCTATAGCGAAAGTCGTAATTTTCGATACAGATCAGCTTGAATGTCGATGGGAAAGAGGCGACTCGAACCATTTCTGTCGGAGAGGGCCCGGAACACTTTTACACGTCGACGATCCTTGTCGGAGCTTCTGGAAACACCAGTCCGCCGGAAGCTGGAATTAGCAGCGGGCCGCCATACTTTTTTGGCTGCCTCAAAGAAGTAAGTGTTCATTGAAGGAATGCTAATAGTAGGTAAAGATAATAATATACACCTGCCTTAACGCTATAATTACTAATTTATGATAAGCATACATAAGAATCGGTAAAATGTATATTGGGCAATGTTTCATTAAATGATGTTTCCCCTGGCATTGAACTGGTATTTCCCCAGGCGTTCATCTGTCGGTATGGCGGAACCACATTAGGCCCATAGAAATCCTTCAATTTGCTTGAATAATATCAGCGGTACACAGCGTATGAGTTCAGAGCCATTCAGCGACAGAACACCGATCCAATCCATACCTATCATACTTGTCCTTCTCGTGGAGCATGGTCCACCTTCATTGGGCGCTTCAACTTGTCATTTATGTGATCAACACGGGCGTGCTAATCAGTATAGGCGTACGTTACTTTATTCCTATGAGTGAAATTATTGTCTTCAGTAACTACTCTTACTACAGTAACTACTACAGTTAAATCATCAGTTCGTTATTTGACGACACAGTGACACCGAACCTTTGCCGGCCGGCGACCTTTTGCCGTCGTAACTTATCTAGACATATTGGAACAAAACGAACCCGAATAGCGGTCCGTACTTTTCATTAAAGCAGTCAGAGGTGTAACTTACGTGTCATGCACTAGTCTACGATCGAAAGATGGGCGGGCGCAAGTCGAATAGGTGCCAAGCTTTAACGGAGAAAGTTATAAACGTTACGTTTTACGGACTATCGTTCTGAAAACACATCGTCAATGTAGCTACATATCTCCTTATGTATGTATTGCTATTTTGTTGAACTCAAGCGTTAGCAGAGCGAGGTACCTGTGATTTGATCTATTCGACCATGAAGAGTTTGAGCCACTTCTATTTGCTTATAGAGAAATCGTATTGAGTGTACTACAGTTACATTAGAGAACGCATTGTGTGTAAACCACACGCATCGCTTATTGTACGCATCTGACGCCACTATATTTCGTAGGAAAGTGAAGTCCCTTGAATAATGATCTTCTCAGATTAGTCATTACTGGTATCTTAGTTCTCTTATCAGCATTTTTATTGGTATTTTTCATTGAAACGCTTGAAGACTTTACGACGCTGCAACCTCGCGCCGGCGGATTAATTGTACAAACATTAATAATTTGAAGAAAACCCATTACCATCAGTGCCATTGTCGTAATTAACGAACAGCTGTTAATGACAGTCCAGCAATTGAGTTGGGTCCACAAGCCTTCAAAAGCATGTAATAACGGATTGCACACTTCGTGATAAATATGACCCTAGCTAGCTCCCAATGATTATCGTCCGCCGTTTTCAACGAGCCTCTGCTTCTATCTAGGCCGTTAGGAACTGGAATGGCCATAAAACGTACAAGTAGAAGGAAGTTATGCTTCAAACGTTGTTCTAGTTTGTTCGTTACCGTTTCAGTGGATTGCTACCTGTAGGTCGAACTGGTGGCCAATTTCATGGCTAATTTCTTTTTACGAACGTTCGTCGTAGGTAGAACTGGTTTCGTCAGGACTGCATCTCGACCTGATTCGCATCGCCAAGACCAACCTTGGATTCATAACAGCTAGCGGCGAAATCGAATATCGCTGTTCAGGGAGTAGCGCAAACAACTCGGCCACAGCAGGATCGAAGGGTAGTCCCTCCGGAACGGATTCGGCTAATCCGCTCGGAGCTACCGGGGCTATGGCGAAAAAGAACCATAAGGATCAGGCGATCTCGTTTCTCACACCGGAGTCATTTATTGTGAGTGTTAGTGAAGAAGTAATAACTTAATTCGGTGTCTTTGTGAATCTCACAGTGTGTTTATGGTATTTCGATGTTGTAAAGCTAATCAGATAATTAGTTTAGGGAACGTCTTTCGCTGTCTTTACAGATTGTGCTCAATTGGACGCCTTCTGGTGAAGCTTATTCAAACAGTGGTTATAACAAGCGAAAGCCCGTTCTCGGTGGATGGGTCGGCGGTAAAGGAAGATCTGAAATTTCGTTTCAGTTTCGTACCACAGAGGATTCCGGTGTCCTTCTATATTCCTCTCCGGCAACGATGTCACACAATGAACGAGCCTTCTTCTTTGTGATTGAGCTTCGCCAGGTAGAATTTTCCGCATGAAATATCTTACTGTAGTTGACAGTCACGCTGTGCGCGTACGGACCCACGAACCTATAATCGGCACGCAGCTCATTGTTGGGTAACCTATATAGAAGCGGGTTGCATCTGGATTATGCTGGACCGGGTGACGTGAAGACGCTACGAAGCTGTGTCCCGATTACGGTCAGCAGAGGCCAGTTTTTTTTTGAAACTAGAAAATTATAATTATTCTATAATATTATCATCATTGGATCACTAACCGAACGACACCGCATGTCCTTATCGGTCAGCAGGATTTCATACATATTGTAGCAGCAAACAATTCCATACGTTTTAAACTGCCCATGAGCGAAGACGACGCCTGTCATTCACCTTGAATTATCGGTCGACCAGATATCGCTCGGACTTATCAGACAATCAGTCTGCTAAGACTACATCGCGGCAGTGTGCTGCAGGGTAAATATGCACATGATTCGTGCTTCCCACAGATCCTGCTAAGCAGGCAACATGTCGTTAATAACCAGTATTGAAGGTAATGGATTGTCTAACGACATTTATAGATAATGCAGTTATTCCGATAATGTAAGCAGTCGAGTGGGACCTCGGAAGTCTAGAAACTGGATGTCAAAGGAGCCGCGAAGGAATTAGATTACGGTTAGAAAATAATTAGAGACGGTTGTTCGAAGACATTGCCCCGTGGTGAAGAAGCCAACACTTTATGAATAAATAAGTACGAGATAGGAATTGCGCACTTTATTCAGAATAGAACCACAGTTGGACACATGTGTTTTATTCTGCAGCTTTATTGATCGTTTGCTATCAAGATATTATATTATATATATAAGCTATTAAGATAATATATTATTTAGTAGAATTCCAGGCAACCTTTTTGCCGGCAAAAACAAGGGTACCTTTTGATCCTGCTTTTTTGAACTCGAACTCGATTCAACCAGCTGAACACGAACAGCAGCAAATCGTCAACAAACCAATGGCTTAAAATACAAGTACATATGTAAATTAGCACAACATTTAGAATTTGAAACGGTTGCCAAGGCCGCAACATTTCAATTACGAGCTTCCGATGTTTCTTAGCGGTTTTTTACAATATGTCCCAATTATGAAGTCTCGTTAAAGTTGCTTTGCATATTAAAATAAAGTTGTATTATAAATAATAATAGAAAACTGAAATCTGTATTCTTCGAATGGTCCCTGTTAGCGTACAGAAACGCTTTGTTATTGAGTCATGGGGCTTTGTTCCATACAGACAGAAGCCCGGGGTCATATGCTTTTATTCCTTCTTTACATGAACCTCCTATTCGATAAACACAGTATGAGTTTTCGTCGTTACTGCAGTCAGAATGAAAAGAGCCGTCCGTGAACCAATAAAGTGAAGTTGGATTGGGTCAATGATGTCCTAAACCCCATGTAAATTCAATACAGTATGTCATAGCATACGCGGGGCAATTTCATGGCTGATTTTATCAACAGATAGTACTGTTTTTCTTTAGTAAATGTGGCACTGCTTGTTTAAAACCGTGATATGTTTCTTTTACAAGAGTTACAAACAAGAATCCTAGTAGATGAGTGAGCAAAAAAAGTGTTTAATGTAAATTTTGGAAAAATCGCAACTTATTATGAGCGATTTCGGGTGATTGTAGTGACGACGGAAATACATTAAAGAATTTGTTTTTTTTTTTGTTCTATATGTTTAGTTGTACGACCGAAAACGTCCGGAAGAAACTAGGCTTGAAGGCTTTATGATGCTGTAACCTCGTGCCAAGTTTGTTATAAAATGAATATCGCTTGCTTAAGATACTTGGAAAGTATATCGTACAACGCGATTTTACGTCAACCCTGTGCCATCCCAAATAGGACCGTTCCAATAGGTCGCATTTCTCCAACAGGATATCTAACTCGTATACAATAGAATTCGTATTGGAAAAGCTTGCTTAGAAAACCGAGTTTTATATCCCATAGTCAAATTATTACATCTACTTCGTCGAGGGGAATCATGTTCTTAGTTTCCAAATAGATACAACGACTCAAAACCTATGCGATGCCAATAGTATTTGAGATTATCCTTATAGAAACTTGGGAGAATTGTAAATTGCGCACAAAAAGCAACGAAGTACGCGATTTCACGATGTAAACATCAAAATGTAGCCTAATACAACTAACCATCAATATTGAAAACATAATCTATAATTCTCCAGTATGATGTAGATGCTTGGTCTTGATTTGATTCTGTTGCAAAAACGAGACATGTGAGTGCTATTTGCTTTCAGGGGCATCTGGAATTGCGTATCGGAGTCGGCGGCTTTCGACGCCGAGCCAGCGTATTTCTGCCGGGCGGAGGGCGAACCAGCGATGGCCAGTGGCATAAACTTACCCTCTCAATGGATCGTACAGGGTACGTCATATAAATCTACGCAACTTAGTCATTTCTTTTACAATAGGACAGTCCCGTGATGTCGATATTCCTCCTTATGATGCACCAACCCTTGAGTTACCTGTAAAAATGGAAATAATAAAAGAATAGTTTTCGACAAGTCGCGCGGAGAGGACATACAAAGGCAGAATACAATATAACTGTTCCTAATGTCGGAAGCCCCCAATGGGGGAAGGTATATTCATAGCCTTCGCCTTTTTTTAAACCTATTTCGGACTTTAACATCAAACAGACACTAGAAGTATGACCCAACTGAAATAAAGATAAGGGTCATATATTTCTTCTTTTTTTTTTGCTCATGTAGATACGTGATATTCCGCGCGGATCACGACGCACAGGGAAATAGAGGTCCGGGCGCATCCAACGCCGAAACAAACGGAGCGATTCGAGAGTTCAGAGTTCATGGTTCGCCGGGGAGTCTGTACGAAACTGGCGGACCGCTGTTCGTCGGCGGAATCAGCGATCTTGGCAAGAACAGCTATCCGTCTGGTGCGTCCTCTTGACCAGGAGGGCACTATCTTATTCCACACCGTAGTTTACTCTGGCTTAATCCCTATTCTTGGTATTTCGGCACTTCCGAGACAATGAGACCATACTTATCTGTCTTGGATATAAAACTACTTCTCCTAATGCCAGTAATTAGAGAAACTAGTTGCAATATAGAGGGAGCTTTAGCGAAATCAAGATAAGTTGACTCTTTATAGAACGCCAATCTAAGTCAATCATCGAGTGATACAAGGCGATACACATGTGTGGGATGGCCATCAAAGTGTACCAAACGCTACATTAATTCAAAAACCTTTGAATTTTAGACAACACCTGCGTAGTGGCTTTTAAGATGATTATATTGAATATGGTATGTATGTTATTAGCCAAATTTCCAAGTTAGTCTTTTTTGAACACCAGTTCTAGTCATAGAATCATATCGGTATACGTAAAGCGTTGCAAAGCTGAAATTTCTTAGGCAAACGTATTAACGATTTTTGTATATGCACATTTGAAGGGCTGTGGTCAGAACCAGACTTACACAGGGGTTTTGCTGGCTGTCTCCGAGATCTCTCGGTTGGTGGCGTTAAGCTTGACCTCAGGACAAATCTGGCCGTAGCCGGAGTTCAAAGTGGTTGTAGTCGTGCCGGCGCACCCAAATGTCCAGCGAGCCCGTGCTTTCACGGCGCTGTCTGTAATGAAGGTTGGAATCGGCCGATCTGTGACTGCTCACGGACACATTTTGCAGGACCCACTTGCGAAACTCGTAAGTGGCCTTCCACTTTCAATGTCAAATGCCCAATTGGCCAATCAATCCATCATTAAAGAATCGCATTAAAGACTTACTGCCATACGAATAATGAATTTACCTTAGAATCAAGCACATAAATACCATTACGAATATCGGGAGATTGTGTGCCATTTTTACTAAACGTTACACTATACTCTGCTGACTTACATCAATTATGAGCAGTTTCCATAGATTTAGTTCACCCTTTCCGCGATTGTTTATGGAACCATTCAATTTGCGAGCACAAATAGCATCCTTACGTTTCTATACATCAAATCCAGCTGCGTTGAGCTTGCACTTCACTGGATCGGAACACATAACGGCGACCTTACCCGAACATCAGGCAAGTTTCGGCGAGGAAATCGTATTTCGCTTTCGTACGGAGATGTCCAGTTGCACCGTGTTTGCCTCACAGCCCGGAGGCCTTCTGCAAGGCTCCCTCCAGGATGGAAAATTCCGTCTCGCCTACCGTTTCTCAGCAGCTTCCCTCAGTCAAAGAAACGGTTCACAGGTGAGTGACGACATGACACTACGTCTGTTTAAATGAAGGCCATGACCTTCTAGCCTTTTGTCATTTTGAGCATATCCGTGATAGTTAGTAACACATACTTAAATCTACTGTAATAGGGAATATGTTGGACCGGACAGATGCTTTAAATATTATACGGACAGCACTGAGCGATAATAATTTACTACTACCGATTATCTAGAGTTGTCGTTTGCTTTCTCAGGATCTGCAACGGTGTTGATCTGCCTAACAGATAGTACAGCAACAAAATGCCGAGCACTTTCTGTTGATTATAATTAGTTTTCTTTGGTAACCATATTTCAATCGATTCCTTCCAGTTGTTTAGCCGACTCGTCTCTCCGTTTGATGGTTTATATATGTATGTTTTTTTTTTTTGTAAATAGCATTTTTGCTGTTTAGTATATGATCGATGCCATGTAGCAATGTCTATACAAGTATCAATAAATAAAGTATGTGATTCATAGATGCTCCCTCATCTCTTCCAAGTTGTCGCAATAAACAAACATCCGCTGCCTGCATATCCAACAACGCGAACAAATGGCATCTTTGTACGATGCCGTGCATAAAGAAATCTTTCCTATCCATGACAAGGTTAGATCGAGCTCTGTATCCACGAGAAAAAACAAAACTGCATCCATCGTAAGCAGAGCTTCGATTAACTAACCGGAATCGATAGTGCAATTTTGGCCGACTATCGTAAATAATAGCAACACCACGCGTACGATTTTTTACTGCCCAGCTCAAACTTTGATCAACACCAGCAGAAAATTTGATCAGTCCCATATGACCAGATGGGCTCTGCGAGCTTTCTAGACATGTTAGACTACGATAAGTCCTTCGGCTCGAACAAGGCAGAGTAGTAATAGGCGAAACTTATCGTAACAGAACGTTATTTGGAGCTTTAAATCATGTGCGCATAGAGACAAACGTTGTAGATCTCGAGACACTCTTAAATAGTAGATAAAAGGCCAACCCTTGAAGTTACGTTGTTTCTTTTCTCTGAGAGATTTATTATCTATTGCCTTATCATATATATATATATATATACATATTTGATGTATTTTTTGTCATGTTTTGCGCGGCAGGTTGTCACGGTAACAGGCTACGGTTTGGACGATAGTACATGGCATTATGTTCGGATCTTGCGAACAGCGTCTAATGTAGCTGTTATGGTTGATCAGGAGTCAACATTTGCAGGTTTGTAGGCGCCGAACAGTTATTTGGATCTAGTTTGCGCGTCTTCTATTCATTGAAGTTAATCAGTTTTAACCGCGTTCGCACATGGTAAACCACAGTAGGAAGGATAAAAAAATGAGTAATAACATTTAAGAATATTAAGGCATTCATTGAAAAAGACTTTTTTTTTTATACCAAAATGCTTATTTGCATATATATTAGAATAAGATTCAGCCGTAATATAGGCGCTTCGAATATTGATTGCCCAAACTTCAGGTACGATAAAAGAAGGTAGCGCAGCCTATTACGAAATGTACCGTGTTTTTTTTGGAAACCTTTTCGTTGCACCACGCTGTAGGTCCATGTCCATAGACATATGTGGTCACATGTTCAGAAATACCTGAAAGCTTCTTACATACACAGCATGGCAGAATCGTAAGGCCTAACCAACTGTGTGAACATCTGCAATCCAAGCAAATCGTATAAAAAAGGGGAACGCCGACGGGACTACACAATCTTGGGCGTCTTTCAAATGTGGCTGCGATATTATAAATGCCGTGCTCGGCAACGCCAAGCAACAGCAGAGGCAGCGCATGGTAAAAAATATACGTTAAACAGTATTAGTTCTCTTTGAAATTTGATGCATGGCCAAAAGCGGGACCGCTTTCGGAACGTGATCAGGAAACAAGGCGTTTTCCGGTCAGCCTACCTCGAGAAGGCGCTGCACAATTCATTCTAAAGGTACTGGTTCATTCTGTTCTAGAAACTCCATCTAATGTTCGGATTCGTATGGGTTCACTTCGATTCGGTCACCAGCTCCTTCGGTTCGAGGGGGGCACAAATGGAGGCGGTGCCGACACCATTGCGACCCATTCCTTCGTCGGTGAAATTCAACATCTTAGAGTCAATGGAGTACCCTTGTCAGAGTCGTTAAGACCCGGAGAGATTTCTGGTTTTTCCATTGAATCTAACATTCTTCCGCCTGGACTTATTCAAGCTAGTGGGTCGCTGCTCCTTTCAAGGTAAACATTGTTTTTTTTTTTGGAAAAATGAAAACTTTACGTTAATAATTCAGTGAAGATTATCTTCGGCTTTATTCACTATTTTGCTAGAAGTATATGGAGAATTGTGTGAGCAAATAATTCGGTTAAAACTATAACGGGTTTTTTGTTTTGGACATATAGTAACACTTCACGTTGGATTTAGACCTCCAGAAGACTAGCTGAAACTGCGGTATTAGCACTAAATTCTATAAATAGAACACACTCGGTGAGCACTCGGTGATAGAACGTTCAGCTTTACTTCGCCGTGGATTATCGCATTTTTAATTTGTACTTCGTGATCAAGTGGAAGATATATGCCTCACAGAGTTCTAATAACAGTAAATGGCCAATGTACTGTTGATGTCGAAGCACACAAATCGCATAAAAAAAATCTAATAGATCATTTGGCAAAGCTAATTTAAACTTTTCAAGTTAGCCCAACTAACTTTCCCGGACCAATATATTTATGTCAGAGTGAATTTTTTCGATTGAATGGTAAAAACTCGAAAGTTCAGCTCTGTGCGTGCGCAAGTAGTGTATGATTGCGTGTATGAATGCGTGCATACATAGAGTATGTTTTAAACCGTTAGACTGGTAATTTCAGAAGTTAAATGTCATTGTGTCAGCAAAACTATCTACCGCTATGGAAATATCAAATTTGACGTCTGATCAAGTGAGCGTCAAATGTACTGTATCTCTTTATAATAAGTCTCATTACAAGACTGATTTTATAGTTCAACTGATTTAATAGGATCGTAGGGTGTAGCCTTCGCCGCAGGCACATAACAAACGTTTGGTTTGTTGAGGCATGGCTAGCATTCAAGAAGTTTCTTTGAACTTTAAATTCGTAAACAGACGTGTAACGCAGCACACATGTGTATTATTCTTTAAATTCTCCAAGAATTCGTCTCTTAATTAACACATTATTGTATATAGATTAATATTTATTAATGTCATACTGGTTGCTGTCGCGGCACAGTGAGCACTTCTCGACCTTTTCGGCGCCCACGGGCTTCGTAGCACTGAGTGCGTCGCCTTTTCGCGGACTTGAGATCACTCTCCGGATTCAGCCGACGGTTGACAGCGGTCTCGTGCTTCATTGGCCTGGCGCTAACGGAAGCGGGCTCACCCTCGAACTCGAGGACGCTCGACTCAAGATGATCGTTACCCAGCCTTCAGCGACGTATGGCGCCGCAGCAGCGACGTTGGCTGTTTCAACAGGACGCCATCAGCGTGGAGAGATGCCAAATAACAATGGAAGCAGTTTTGAGAGCCAAAGCGACCGTCAGGATTCATCGAAAAGTCTTAGGCATCAACACAGGTCAACATCGTCATTTTCCTCGTCGTCCTATCAATCATGTAAGAGAGGGGTTTTATGGACACCGTATTAATATGCACGTTACGATGACTTAAACAATATATCAAAGCTCAAAAACTATGTATATACAAACCATATTGGTTTTGAGAATGTCGGATTAAAAGATTAGCTAGCTAAATTTCATCAGAACAGAATTCGAAGAATAATTTATCCATACTCATGCTAGATATCAAGCGACAACAAGAAATATAACGATAATAGCAACACGAGCTTATGCTGGTTTAAGCATTACTGCTGTTCGCCAGCAGCTATTCTGTCCGATGTGGCAATAATTTAAATGTTTTCTAATAGTATTTCGCCGACATGTCATCGAACGGTCTTAATTCTGCTTTCTCGGCATGTGGATGTTGTATTGTATAGCTGCTTATGCTCTCCGTGACAGTGGAAGCGTCAGCCATCGAAGTGACGTCGTTCATGACCGCTTGCTGTTGAGCGATAATGCTATGCACTCAGTTCGAGTACACTCTACGACCGGCTTTCTACGACTTCGTGTTGATGACCAGGAGGCTGGAGCAGTGGAGACCCTTGACGCTAGTCTTTTACAAGGTAGCGTCTAGTACACGGCACAACACATGGTACACGAACAAAAAACCACTAAAAGCTGATATCCGACATTGAACACAGTTAGGCTGGCGGGAACATCTATTAGTATCAGGTGTTGTTAGAATGGGTTAAACAGTTAACCAAGAGCATCGTAAGAAAAACTAAGCGTAAACGTGTACGATCTGCTATGTTCTGATTAGGTTTGGTGTACATTGGCGGTGTACGAGAGTACAGCATACTCCCTGCCCCTGTTTCATCGCAATCTGGCTTCGCAGGCTGCATCGGCGTTGAGGACGTTAATGGTCAAAGCATCAAGTTGGCAGAAGAAGCTGTTATCCCTAGTGATGTCGTGTCGCAAGGTTGCCGAGGTGAAAAATTGAAAAAAATTCGTATAATCCTACGTTGATGGGTAATACTAAAAAGATCCAAATAGGCCTTAGAGAACAGCTCTGTTTGTTTTTACTTACCATTTCGTATGATGAGAGTCTGTAACTGAATAGACCATGTAGCAGGTTATTTGACGAACGGTAAACAACAGGATCTTTTTTTCGTGCCCTATATATAAAGAGTGGACTCCGATAACATAATTAATGATAAATTCACGCAGAAAAACTGTAACATCGACATAGCACCGTCCGGACCAACTAGCAAGAAGCTAAACAGCCTATAGCCAAAGCGGCCCCACAAGTGTTTCGCTTACCCACATCTTTTAATTCGGTGAAATTTACCGACGCTTTTGTGAGTCTTTCGTGAGTGTCCCATGATACGTATACGTGTATAACAGGACTACGAAGTGCCTTAGCTAACAAGTTACGTATATTTATCTCAATTTCCGGCAGCAAAAAATTAGTAAATGAAACTGAACCTTTGTCATCTGAACGAAGCTTGAACAACGCTCTACAGATTGCCTCTTAATAAACGCCTTCGCCCTCTACATTGGGTAGCGTGGAGCCTTCCATATTGCCGGCCTGATTAAACAGCATGAAAGCAAAGGCGGGGCAAACTAGGATTGGTATTCATTTTAGCATCGCTATACTGCATTCTGGTACAGCGCACTACAGTCCACCGAACGCTAACGCTGCCGTCAAATCAGTTGCAAGCGACCCCAAACCACTATCGTTGATTCATCCCTGAAGCCGTGTCTTGAGAAACCTTTTTCTCAGTCAATCAACTCGTCGATCTTTCGTAGACGGTAAAAAACAAGACAGACCGTTCTAGCCGTGGAAAGCAAAGAAGAGTTTTCTCCGGCTAATTTCAGATCGTAAAGCTTTCCTTTTTCTGAATTACTCTTTGTCTCGTTGGACTGCAAGTGATTTGTTCTCACAGTTTACATCAACTAATGCCGATAAATAGTCGGGCGATTGACTAGAGGAATTTCTTTTACAGGCTGACCGACCGCCGGAGGGATGCACACAAAGACTTCTTGACCACAGTAAAATAGGGATTAGAAACTAGATTATGTTAAAGCTATACGTGTGGATAATTGTAGTCAGATTGAGGGGTTTGAGAAAATAAAACGGTACTCAACTGCAGCTACGGACATAACGTTCTTCACAACGGTTATTTCATACTTATTTTTTCCAGCTCAATTAAAGTCAACCCAAGAGCTTTATGTTGTTGTGAGCTAGACGACATTTAAATAAAGTATCAATGAGAAATTCTGGCTCCATGAGACAACAATAATTAGTTTCGAGTTTTGCGTCTAGTACTGCCGTTAAGTTAAGCGTTGTTTTAGCTACGGGGATACAACTCTGGATTTTGATGAACAGTTTGAAAGGGAAAAACTTACGCAATAAAAGCAATAATGTGCTTGCCCATTTAGCGCGACAAGTCAGTAAACTGAAATCACTGAGTCAGTTATATATAGTTGTTTCGGACATCATTGTTTCTCCGAACTTTGTAAATTGCAGGAAAAGCAAGCGGTTGTTCATCGAAACCTTGTGCCCACGGGGGAGTCTGTCACGAGAAGGACTCCAGCAGTCCGAACGCAGACAAACAGCAAACTGACCCAGCTGCTTCCAGTGGGCATTCGTTCAGCTGTGATTGCTCATTCACGTCGTTCCGAGGAGCAACGTGCACCCAAGGTACGACAAAGAAAAACATAAGTTTCTACATTCGACACAATGTGTTATCATGTCGCTACTGTCAAAAAATCGTTATCGCACACTGCTTTTTAACAATATGACAATGGGACAGCTCAGAAAGTTTGTTTACCATCTATAATTACACGCGCCAATGATACGATCGTGTTGGTATATGTACATCTTTTTTTTTCTAATAGACCAAATTAGAAACACTGTTCCTATAATAACCTAAGAAAGGTTTTCTTGAGCACCTGTCGCGGGCGTCGTCCAAGCATATCTTCAGCTGAGCGCTGGAGGTTAACAGGGTAAAATACGTAACAATAACAAACGACTCTTTTGTCTGGCCTAACTATTGCAGAAAGCGCATCATATGAATTTCATAGCGGTGGTTTGCTGCTTACGTCATCCGCTCTCCGTCGTCCCCGGGCCGGGGATGCACTCGCTTTAGGTTTAGTCGCCGAAGTTGACAATGCTGTACTCATTCGAGTTGAATTCCTCGCTACGAGCGATTATATCCAAATCGAAATTGTAAGCTTATATTTCGAATTGTATTCTCCCACTTCATGTAGCCTACTAGATCTATTTATGTATATTATAGTATCAGATTCGAACGATTCGATAATGTGACCACAATTGTGACTTTCTTGCTTCTTTTACAAATAACAAAAGTGCTAGCATTCGTAGCCGAAATATAAATATTATACATTAAAATTGCCCTTCCTTTTTTTTTATACAACATTATTGGCTTAGAGCTCTCATTATGGGAGTAAGTATTGCATTCGATATCCGCATACATATAAGAAGTGTGGAAAACGTACAATTTATTGATTAACAAAAAGCAAGCACGCTTTAAATGCATAAGTAATTTCTGATTCAGATTGACGGCGTCTTGTTTGCCATTTATAACGTGGCTGGTGAGGATTATGCACTGAATGTGCCGGGTGTCTATGTGCATGATAGACAGTATCACATAGTGAGATTCACGCACCGAGCGCGGGCCTCTACACTTCAACTGGACCAGTTGCCCGTACAGACTCGAAAACATAAGCAGCTTCAACAGCTAGCTGATGATGATCGTGAGTACAATTTTCGCTATGAAACTTGCATGCTTCGCTATGAAAATGGTAATAATTTACCACTTATTAGGTACTAGCAATTTTGATTAACTTACAAAAATGGCAAACGTATACTCGATTCTTATTTCCCCACTCACATTTCGCCTGAGTCTTGTATTAGATGGCGCAGCCGATGAAACCGTCGGAGGTGGGATTTCAGCGGATGTTAAGATTCAGCTCGGGGGCGTGTTATCTGGTTCTGCGTCAGCAGCAGTATCTAAAGGGTTCAGAGGTGTTTTGTCCGGAGTGGTACTTAACGGAGTTCGCCTCCTAGAGCTCAGCGCTGAAAGGGGCGATATCGTTGTTCAAGGTGATGCCACTCGCCTTCAGTCCCTTGCTCAAAGCAAGTACAGCCCGGCACATAACTACCCAGCAGATCAACCTTTCATGTTGAACGTAAGTCCTTCCCTTCTATTATACACCAATAAACTTATACAACATTTACATTACATGCTAGATGAAATATATAGCTTTCACAGAATCTTTAAGACATTAGCTTAGCTCGAGCCTCACCTTTAATTTCGACCTCTCTTTTAGGATGCGAAACCTCCAGTAGAAGTTTACGAACGCGATGACCTCGTTTACTCAGAAGGGTCGGGATGTTATGAAAGCGACGATGACGACGCCGATTGTAACAATAACGCGGCTGATGACAATAGTAACTCAGGTAATGACAAAGAGTCGTACTGCACACACTGACGGTACAGGTCTGGTCGTATTGTTAACGACACGAACAATCAGTAAAGCCTAAGTAAATTGTGGATGAACCGCCAGCAAATATATATTTAAGCAAGAAACATACTATACGTACTTGTATCTATAGAAATTGGCCTGGGTTCCTTTGCGCACAATCAATAGTTTAACAAACTCTTTTGAGTAGTTTCTTTTTTTTGTTCCATAAATTTACGAACTGTCCATTTGAACGATCTTTGAACCACTGAGCAGCTGGCGGGGGCGATGAACTCGTAACGGCCGTTTACATCCCTTCGCAACGGCGTAGTTCGGCGCCACATTACAACGGAAATTCCGTTGGTTTTTCGGCCGGTAGCGGCGGCACGACATCACGACCCTCACAAAAGAAAGCCATCTATTCATGTCATGACGACGAGGACTGTGTCGAAGAAGGTTCAGGCAACGGAATCGATGCCACTCGATCGAGATCGCAATCGAGCGGTATTATTGTAACGCCCCGAGCTCCTTACGAATCTCCGAACAGCGGAGATCACTCGCAAATAACCACGACTACGGCCAGGTAATGGAACGAGGATAAACGTTATAACAAAGCGATGGAGGTAACGTAAAGTAATTTAAATAAGCATTCATATTTCTATGTAACCCCCCATGCTAACCGCGTCCAGCCCATAGAATCCGAACGCTTAAAACGCTATCTCAGTGCTTGCAAGTTCTGAATTACTCCCACGTTTGTAATTCAGTGAATAATTACAAGCTTAAAAAACGGATGCTGTTTACGTCAAGAATGCTGACGTCTCCTTTGATTTGTTGCCGATACATATATATATATATATATATATATGTGTATATTATATTATACATATGTTAGCTATTAGACATCGTCCCTAAAGTAGCGTGTTTAAACTAAATGTTTACCAATGACCCAACGAACAATCCTTGTATATGCATTTGATACAACTGGTACATTTTTTCACTGTATTTGATTTTGCTATTTTATCTAGAACGACAACGTCGATATATTCGACGACGTCCACAACTCCATCTCCATCAACTACAACTACCACTCATGAATGGATCATCGTTAAAACATTCTCGACACGGCCACCATTCAAGCCACGAACAACTTCAAGTAAACGCTGTCTTCTGATATACTTGATTTCGTTATCTAACTACCTACAATTAATTTTAACCGAATGATGCTGGACCAAAACAATAATAAACGCACATGTTATACCGTAGCGCATTTCATTTTCAGCGGGCATCCCGGAGGTGTTTTCCGTACCCATTCCTGAAGTTCACACACCGACGCAGATCAACAAAGACAAAAGCAAAACGAAGGTAAACTCAAATAATCATGATGACGAACTTTATATAGGATATAGTACTTTATACTTATATGTTTATTTGAGATTTTCGATATTCACAGCTTATTATTTTCTATGCTAGCCGCGCCCAGCCTGTAGAATCTGAGCGCTTAACGGTATCTCAATGCTTGCAACCTATGGCAGACGCTCGGAACAATTTTTTCGTGCCTAATCAGTGAGTTAAAGACAGACAGCCAGGGTAATTGCGAGGTTGCCGTCCGCTTTCGGAAGTAGCTAACTAACGATTTCTTACATAAAATTCGTGATTGTCTGCTTCGGATTAAACATTATGTAAACATTTTTCTTGATCATCATCTTTCAAAATTTTTCCTTTTATACATCGCTATATATTTTACTTGGAACATCTTTAATTATTAAGGGCTTCTAAGCGACCTTTCTTGTACTAGAAGTCCAAACTTTGCGTCAATGTACCTGCACTTTACATCGTGAACGAATTATTATTTTCCCTAAAATCATTTTCCGCTTCGTTGAAAGTCTGCTTACAATGTGGTAATAATAATAATAATGAAAATGATAATAATAATAACCGTTGTTAATTAATTAATTTAACAGCCTGCACGTGTTGACACAGCAGTGGCAGCCGACGGAACGGCACTCGTCATAGGCATCGTAGCGGGAATACTTGTCAGTCTCGTCATACTCGCATTGCTTCTCTACCGGTTTCGCACTGGCAGACCTGGTGGTGCCTGCAAGCCAAACAGCTTATACTATAATCCATGTGTCGGTGAAACTGGAGCCACAGGCCCTGGTGCAGGTCCCGGAATGGGAGCGCCCATCGGTCCTGGAGGTTTAGGTGCCGGCGGACCTGGAGGCGGTGGTGGTGCGTGCATTCCGTACGGGGTGGCTTCAGGCGGAGGCATCGCCGGCGGAGCGCCAGCCTATTCAACGTTGCACAAAGGTATGGCCGTGGCCGGCAATAAGAAGTCGGAACAAGTCAAAGATCCCCAGGAGTGGTACGTATGAGGGATGTTCAGCACGCAGTTATGGCTCGTAAGAACTATGAGACGAACGATAATATTGAAAATGCTAACAATGACAAGACGAATACTGTGAAGATGCGCAAGAATTACAATAGCAAATGGCTCGTAATAGGAAGAAGCTCGGGCGTGGTCCCACACAGATCGCGCTGCTCGCAAGCGCAAAAATACTGATTATTACCAATTTAATCATATTATACTGCTGCTGTATTGTTAGCAATAAGTCGATAGATGTCCGAGGGCTAGAAACGAAGAAATAAATATATGAGCGAAAGATCTGAGTAAATTAAGAACCGATGCTACAGGGCGAAAGCATTAGCATGATCGCCTAGGTAACAATAATAGGCGAGATACAATTTAGAAAATATATCTGACATGAACCATACATAAGAAGAATAGTAAACGAACGACAAACATACTGATGGACCGGTTGACAACTGTCTGATCAGCTGACGAATGTTTCTCTCCAAGATAACCTCGGCCAGACAAGAACAGATAAATGTCCATCAGAGCAGCGACACTTCTAAAGCCGCAAACCTCCGATGAAACCTCAATAATACATACAAGATAGCCAGAACGCAGCGGAGAAGCTAGCCAGCTGTTATTAGTATTACACAGACAGAAATAATGCAATCGACGGTAACACGCCTGACGACTAGATATGTCGTGTCAAGTAATACGATAGTACTGATTACGATACGCAAAAATGGGTAAGCGCAAGTGCAACGCAAGTCCCATCTATCATGATAATCGTACGCGCAGTTTTGGCACTCATGCATTAACTTAAACAGTTAACAAGAGACCAATATGCATTCTCGATTGTCACTTGATGCCAGCCATGTACCGAAACTGGAGAAAAAAAATTATTAACAAGGAAGTCTGTCTTCCAGCTTTCGAGACGTCTTGGGTCGTCCACAATACGGAGACTATGTATGCCAATTTCCGGTATACTATACCATGAGGAACAGTGGATTTCTAAGCAAACTTTTTGAGTTTCGATAAACACCCTCTTAACCCACACCTCATAGGTTCGGACCTGTTGGCTCCAGATGGAAGAGCAGGACACAAACGATCGCTCGAAAAATGAAAATAGACTTAATGGTAGTAAAAAAAATATGGTGATAAAGACGATATGAAAAAATAGGAACAATAACAAATATATATATATAAAGAAGCAGATTATGTCGCAGTGCTGAAAAATAACTAGATATTGATAGAACTATGAATATTGCCATGTGTGAATGGAACAGGATCAGAATGGGTGGAAACGGACCGGATGTGGTCGAATAACGAGAGCGCACGGAAGCGGATGACAAGATCAGTTTGCTGTTTACCGTTTTGTATCACTTTTAAACTACGTACAGCCGCAACAATAAGTGACAGTTTATAATGCTGCTGCTGCTGATGATGATGATGTAATAGCTATTCCTATTAGCGTCACTGCTAACATTGCACAATACCTTCTGCGCGATGTCATCATCATCTACACCCTACCTACACTCAACTGCTGTCAAGAAACTTTCATATTTACCTTGTCTCGGTGATTTTTTCACCGTTGTTAGTGTTACTGTATTTACTTCTGCCAACCACTGACCACCATCGCAACATCATCAACCAAACGCTGTAACATGACCGTGTAATGTGTAATTATTAATGATAAGACGACGTGGAGGAAACAAATATTATTATATAGAATAATGCCGATAACACTACCAAATGCAACGTAGCTTGTATATTCTATACATTCATATAGAAAATTCCATGTAAGATGTTTAGAGGACGAAGTCGACCACTCTTAGCCGCCGCCGCCGCCGCCGCCGCCGCCGCCGGAGTGTCGTCTCGCTTAGCCTGAATCGGCTCACGGCAATATATATATATATAATATTGTCGATGAAGAGGAAATATGCCGATGAGAAAGAATGAGGAGGAAGAAATGAATCGAAAGGTTGAGGGTCAATTCACAGAGGCCAGATACAGATCCCTGCGTACTAACTCCAAATGAGACGCTAAAAATGGATTAATTCCATGTACCCCGCGACGTACTACAAGGGGACTCACCCTTCACATTATTGACGCTATAGTACTAATTAATAATAACACTCTGATAAGAATAATATTAATTGTAATAATGACAATGAAATGAGAAAAACAATACTAACTTAGAAAAGACTAGTAGTACGAATGATCATATGTGACATAACCCCAATCATATTTACATCATGCATGATAATATTACTTCATATAATGGTGAGAGGTCAGTTGAAGATCGAAACAGTCATAATATGAGACTAATGATCAGAAACTGAGAGGGAGGAAGATAGAAAAGCGAAATATTAATGAAACTATTTACGATGACGATAATTAATGTATTATTATCACTATTATTGAGAGACCATAAACATACCTATGACAATATACAATGCAACAGCAAGCATAAATCTAAATATATACTTGTACATTTTTCTAAGTTTAGTGTGTACGTAGACTGATGATGACAACGTCAAAAGTAAGTTTTGTCATTTATTGAGTTCTTGTTCTATACTCAAACTGCTGGGGAAACGGAACGGATCACTAAAGGGCCAGTAGATAAAAAGGGAACGTCTCAACAGTACTAACTAGTATCAACAACAACAATAATTATAGTGACAATAATTTTCGTACAATTTCCGCTATTTATCATGCCACACACAGAATGTACGCGCACAGACAACCGAATTTACATTGGTAATATCAACGGGCAATCACTTCTACAAATATGCTGATAACGCATACACGACTTACACACTTGTCAGACGCGGTTTTCCCCCGGACGCTCATATCGCTACTGCTGTTGTAGGGCTGCGCAGTGTTTTGGTCGAACACACGTTTATCCGATGCCTAGGCCTGGTGGGAATATTACAGGCAACTGTGTCAAACAGGACAATGGAAATACTTTAACAGTGATAGTTCTAACACGAGGTAGACTTCCTATTTGCGCTTAAAAAATTAATCTGAAAGTAAAATCTTTAGCGCCAATCAAATCCCTGATATTGAGGGCGCCATTTTACGTTTTTTCGTACCGGAGAGTGACGTACACGTTTTCAAGTAAGTAGCATGATAAAAGCTGAAACGTCACCTCAGAATATTGATCATAATTATCAGATGTTTGTGTACGTTGGTCTATTCTAACCATTCTTGAAAAGCGATAACAACCAATATACGATCCCAGCGAGGTTCAAAACCGGCTTCAATAACAATAACAGATAACTATCGTTTGTCTAACAATCTTCGACATAGTAATACCAAACTATAGTATCAATAAACGAGAAGCTGTTGTTGACAGATGTTGCACAACATGCATCATGCAAAGGCATGGTGCCAGCAGTTTCACTTTGTCAAATAGAAAGGCAGTGGAGAGAAAAAAGCTCAACGACAAGATAACAGGCTTCATGCAGTGGCGAATGGGTAGCCGGTTGTTTTTGATGTTTATTTTTCGTTCTTTAACAGACCACGGGCTCTAGCAGACGACGACGACGACAGGTTGTACTATACCGTATGTTCTGTACATAGCTAATGCTCGTTCATACATTGATTATAGTGGGCAAATTATAGAACTACTACGACAAGGAAAATAATTATATATATATATATGTAATAATAAGCGCACTTTCCTAACATGCACATATCTCTTGGTTACAAACCCAGCGCAACAGGTGGCATTATTTCGTCCCTGCAACGAATAATAACATATATAATGATTGACGTTTATATTTATTATTATTAGTAATATTTAGGTTTAAAAAATCAATAAGGTTCAAAAAAGCTAGTGTAATTTAATCAACCGTGTGTGGCGCACTGAAGGCAAGTAATAGCGAATACTCCTTTCTGCCGCGTTTACTGTTACTCACGAAGATCGCTGTTCGATAATACTAATCATACGAACATATAGCATCTTGTTCGACATCTATTAGTACCCTAGATGTGATCTCTGTGCTATTACAGAAAATTTAACTGAGATTCGCACCATTGACAATTGTGACGAAATTGCCATTCGAGTTTTTCTATAACCAGACAGGTTGTCACGAATCACGCTCACAACATACACCGTTTACCAATATTTTCACGCTCCTTAGATTATCCCAACAGGAAGAACAACATAAGCCGCACTGCATTATTGAGGACTGATTGTCTAGGAGTTAATTGATTTATACCCCATATTGTGTCCCAAAAAATATATTCACAGCTGGGAATTATTTAAACTTCGTTTTTTCTTCACATATGGTTACTATTTTACCTACAAAAACCTACATCTATGTAACGATAAGCTATTGAATCAGAAGCCCAATTACGATTTTTAGATCTTCTAGTATTATCACGACGATAAAGTGCAGGGGCTTTCTCCTGTTGGAAACATAATTCGTCATCTTCACCGGAGTCGTTTCGAATGCGCCATAAAACAGATCCTCACAGTAGTGGTTAGTAATTGGTACCGGTCCATATACTGTCAAAAAAGTATACTTATTTTTAGGAAAGTTTATATAAATAAAAGAAACAACTATCAAGAACCCGTACACAGGCGTGCCAACAAGAGTGAAACGCAAAAAAATCTGTTTTATCTTCGATATATCTATATACTTGCGTACAGTGTACAGACCAAATGGCCATCGAATATCAGCTGGGCTGGAAACGCGAATCCACCAGCTCCCCTCTATTCTATCTATCTAACGAAAAAACTAGTAGTCTAGACGTTTGATCGTCAACTAGACAAATGTCACCCCCCCCCCCCACGGCCCATTTCCGCGCCGTTCAAAATGGACGAAGGGTGTAATATTCAGTTAGCACAACTGCCAACAAAAATCGCAAGCTATTATTTTTTTAGATGACGACAACATCCGATTTACTTTCTAAACGTGTTCACTGCTTGTTCTAAGTATATATAACGTGTAGAACTAGTAAAACAACATTGACTGTATTAACTAAACAGACGTTCATTACCGAATTGGCAAACTGAACGTACATTGCCCCTGTGTAAACTTTCGATCGAACATTTGTGATAATGTTTTTAGCTGATTTCCTATAGAACTGAATAGGTACCTCACCTTTCGAAAAAAAAAATACTGACTGTATTTGATTGGGTATAATTTCAGTCGTGCCCTCAATAGGACGGCTGAGTTTCTGTCTGGTTTAGATTATCCGTACTATGTTACCCTGCACTTAGGCAGAATAGCCACAGCAGCCTTATTTTAGGTGGTACCCTCGGAGACAGAGATCTTCTTTGGATATGGCCATTGCTTGTACATAATAATCTCCTGGGGCAAAGCGTGCATTTGTCAGAATATTTGATTATGGAGGTATAGGGTGCATGCGTGTCTGTTCTATAATGCGAAATTGAAATAAGTTTTGAATAGGCGTGTAAAGCTTTTTAGACTTAATTGCCTATCAAATTTTATCATTACACAAAATATACACTCAATAATATCAATACGCATTTAATACAAATAATCACCGACGCTACCCCCTTGGCTAAAACTGATGGAAAAATCGACTGTGAACAAAGGCATTTTTCCCCATTGTCCAATAGGGTTCTAATAATAAACAGGTTAAAAAAGAGAATGTGACAGAAGGTCATCAGAGATCTTCACTGGAAACATTCAATGGTAGCACCTCTATCTTTGCATGAAACACTCATTCGATAACACCGCATCATAGAGATATACACTTATATGCACACGAGCTAATTAAATAGTAACTCAGCGCCGACAATCATGAGCAACACCGGTTGAAATACCAATGCCACATTAAGTAATAGTCTTTTGCCTCGCAAGCTAACGGAAGCACGAACAGCAGTAAGCGATTAAGCCGACTAATTTACTAACACGAAGTAACCGAAATATTATAGGCTATATAGGTGTTTCGATCATACACCGCGCAACTGAAAACGAGATTTGCTATACGAGAAATAGCTATCCAATGGCCATAATTGTTATTAACAGTTCAGACAGGTAGACATGCCGTTTACAAAATTCTGCACTGGATGGCTTCGAGATTAATGTCATCGGCGTTAAGCGAACAGCCAAGTAATCTCGTGCACGTACGCTATCGAATATCAATCATATCCTTTTTTATAGTTCCTTTTTATAATTGCATCAATATTGCTATACTAATCATTACTATTATAATATACGTTTCAACATGTTGAAGATTATATCGACATGATGAAGACGAATCAAAATAGGATTATATTGCATCTATATGTAACACAAATATGCATTTCCCTTATTTGCAGACAAGGTACACCGTAAACGAAACGTTATGTATGCTAGACATTAACATAGACGTACATACGTAGTCTTTCTGTATTTGAGAACTGTTGTTCTTGGCACCGATTTTTGCGCATATGATAAAAAGCGGGAATAATACACAGCCAGTTTCTACATAAAGAACCCTTATGGACGTCTGTGAGGCATTATACACTAGTCTGCACAATTTCAAGATATCGCACAGGCTTTTTTTCAAATTTTATATATGTCAATTTCTGCAAAGGCTGAATGTGGCAAGCATTCAATCTGGTTAAGAATGGCAAATGGAGAGGGTCATCAAAAACAATGTCCGACCCTTCTTAATCATT